TTGCGCACGGAGATTACCAAAAGTCACCTAAATAACCGTATTTGTCAGCATTGTGGCGTGAAAACAAGCAGGGTGACCCCCTCTTTTTATTACGTTTTTAAGATCTCCTTGTCCTGTAACAACAGCATACCAAGTTTCATGGGAATCTATGACGGGTTCTTTTATTAGGGAATCACCTTAAGGTGGCTTAACACAGTTTTTGATGCCTGTGTTTCATTCACCTTTTTCTCTAAAACCCTTGATCCCTCGGTCGCCAAAAATGGCGGCAAGCAAGTTAACAACACAAACCCTGTTTTTTCGCGCGCATTGTTTCTGTGCATGCTTACTGGGCACACGTCACGTCATGCATCGAGCGCGCGCTAAGTAATAAACTGAACAATGATAGGGCAGATGGCCATTGCCATAGTTTTGCCTGGATTTAACGATCTTGGACGTTCGGTGACCCCTATTTTTCTTTTGATGGGTTATTTTCTCTATCTATTTTCTACGTTTAGCGAGAAATGAAGAAAATCTATCGATTAGAAGTTTAAATTTTTTGCAAAATGCACCATCGAATCCTTTCGTTTATCTGTGCGCGGTTTCAAATGCCTCTTGAAGGGTTAAGTTTTGTGAAAACGTTGGCAACATTTGGGATTATTAACACAGCGGATTCATTTATACAAAATATTACTAGGATAGTTTGTCTCCGTTGATTAATCTTTGATATTTTAAGCTAAAAACCCTGGGGACCATGCTGATTCACGCGCGCCAATTTTTCAAAATCATTTGTTTTCCAGTATCGCAGATAATCGAATTTTTAGAACAAAAATAACTTCTACCTGAGGTTTTCATTCAGGGCGTTGTTATCGGTACTTCTGTGTACAGTCCAGCTAAGTGTTAATTGCAAATGAGTCATGTTGAGTGAAAACCTGATATAAGAAACAACAAAATAAGTCAAAAAAACATTTATTCCCACCACCGTGTTTTATTTGTTTTACAACATTCAGTTTCCTTGAATGGTCTTGAAATGAGACGAGGCCGGTCTTGTCACTGGACCAAAATGTAACCCATGGCTTTGATGTATTTTTCTCCATTATCTGGTGACCATCTTGCGTCGTTTCCACACGTGTTGGAGTCATCAGGATACCCTCCTGAACCAAACCCGATTCTGGAGTCACAGTTGTAGCAATTATTTTCGTTGTTACTAAGGATGCCGATTCTTGCTTTAGCATTGTTACCATTAGTACACACAGCATTGAACCCTTCCTTGTTACAGTTGTGCTGTAAGGAGGCCTGTGAACCAATCAGCGTCTTCCACTTGTCACGACCCACTGAGGTGGCGCGGTATTGGCCGTCAGCGATCAGTGAGTACAGAGAGTTGGCATGCCTGTTAACGACCATGAATTTGATCTGATGGCCGATCTTCATACCAAGACAGATCTTGGAGAAGGATGTGTTCCAGTAGGTCGGTAACTTGGTCTCTTGAAAATCAAACCCAGTCTTGCCTCCAGGAAGGTTAAACTCATTCTTGTTGGTCCAGAGTGCGGAATTGTAGTGGAAGGTTGACTAGATGAAATGAAAAAAAAGCACGTTTTCAAAACCCTGCAACGTTACCGAACTGTCCTTTTGCCTTCTAATTTTCTCTTAACAAACAAAACTTCATTCAATTTCTTCAAATTTCAACTGGAGGTAATATGGGAGTCTAAATAAACCAGGATCCTTGCTTTCAACTGGTTAGTTATACCTTATGACCATCAATTTTCATGACCAGTGTCCATCCTCCACCTCCGCATGCGCCAATGCCGTCGCTGGTCATGTGACAATACACAGGGATCTTTCCACTGTCAGTTTGCAGCTCGTAGGATTTATTTACTCGCAAACTGATGAATGAAAAGAACATACCTTAGGTTCTAGCATACTCAGCCATTGCTTGTAAAAACATGACAGAAACTGCCCCCATTAAGCCCTCCTGTTTATAAGCTCTCCTGGTTATAGGCCCATTTCTCTTGATGTACATGGACACCAACTATTACTTCTGATTATAAGCTCCCCCGAAAATAAGCACCCCTTATGGTTTAAAATGAAATGAATTCGATTTAACATGATTTTGTAGCTACAAAAAAAAACTATATGAAATACGTCTTTCGATCAACACCGGCTGTTGCTCTTTTCGAAACCGTTTTTTTTTTTAATTCCAGTTGTAAGCCCTCCCCCGGATATAAGCCCGTCCGTTTATAAACCCATCCAAAACCCCTTACGATGTTGTATAAGCACAGGGCTTAAAGGCGGCAGTTTTACGGCATTGATTTAGTGTGTTAGTTATTTTTTGAGGGCTTGGAAACATATCGTTTTTCAAAAGAACTCGTGATCACATCCGTACGCTTGTACATGTTGAAGTCACTCATGAATGTTTCTTCCTCCGGCAAGAGCAAAACGCGGCGTTCCAATTGAGGAACCTCCATCTTTGGCTTTTGGCCGCGACTTGCTTCCTCCAATCTTTGTTGAAAAATCAGTGCCGTACATACAGCTGCTTCCCAGCGCCGTGCCTCTACATAATAGATTTTTACATAAGTAGAACGTTAAATGACATTTCATCTGCGAACTTACTTGTGTTTGTCATACAGTTCTTTACAGGAAGTGGGAACAACTGTGAAAAAAAATTAAACTCAAGAGAGGCGCTAGGTACGAAAAAAAAAACAGAAAGAAACAAATTTCAATGAAGATCGGTTAATCCAAGTTTACCTGGCGGGGAAACCAGCTCGATAAGCTTTTCCAACTTCGCTTCCAGTTTCGTTTCCAAAGCCTTAATGGTTGAACAGACATTCGTCTCGTCACAGGTGCCAGATTCGGTGCCAGTGTCATTGCCATGTATAGCGACCTGAAGGAGCAAGTTTACGCTAAAACAAGCTGCGAACAACAAGCGCATTTTGAGAACTGAAGAAAAAAATGTGCGTTTTAACGGCTGAGTTTTGTCGATAACTGACTGACTACGTTTCCCTGTATACAAGATTCGCGAAAACAATATGTAAACAGTCTGCGCGAATATTTTCTTGCTTGCAGCCACGTCAACCAACCAACTACTTAAAAACTTATTTTTAACTAATAACTGAGTATTCGGTCTCTTTCTGGTATAAGACTGCTTGCGAGAAATAAATTTGTAAGAAGAACGACGAAATAATTCCGAAATGCTGAAATCTCGACATATTAAGTCGGTTTTTCAAAATAAATGGAGGGGACCTTTTGCGAAATGCAATTCATATAAATGAGCTCCTAATTACATTTTTGTTTGCAAGCCGGTGTAACAGAATAATTACGCGCGCGGCAGCCAGGAAGACATTTTACGTTTTGTTCTGTCTAAATTGAGGCCGAAAGAATTTTAAAACATCGGTTTGAAATATTTGTTACCACTAATCAAATTGCTTTGAGTGATTCTATAATTTTCCATAATGCTTTACAGTCTCTAATAGACAATGTTTTCGATATCATTTACTCTTTATGAACAATCATATATAATTATATACTGATGAAGTCAAAACAAATCAATCACTTCCCTTTTGACCTAACTAGTTTTGGCTTCGGCTCAGCGATCTTGCGTATTCATTGTGTGCATGAATTAATTCTCATTTCAGAATTCTGTATACTTTCACTTTATTGACAGGGACATTGGGGTTTGCGGTATTGCGGTATTCGACAATTTTTCTTGCGGTATTTCGGTAATATCATTTTTGAATTGCGGTATTGCGGTATTCTCCGAGCCTTCGGGATGAGGTTTTTTAACATTTTGGACGGTATTAAAAATTATCCTCCAATTTCTTCAACGTTTTCCGATGCCTTTTCCAGTTTTCCATTAGTAAAGGGAAAGCTATTTTTAGTTAATAATTAGCCAACACGCGAATGGATGTTACTTATTTTGCTTATTTTGTCTTCACCGAAAATTACAAGTTCCTAATAGCTATTTCCGTGTTATTTCAGCTCTAAACTTGACATACAGAGTACTGGTTTCGGTATGACATTGAATTTTGACCCGGCCGATACTGAAGTGTTGCGGTTTTGCGATAATGCGGTATTTGCCCAATTTTTTTTTTGCGGTGTTGCGGTTTTCAGAACCCCCCAATGTCCTCCTCTTTATTAGACATTTTAGCATGTAGCCTCACGGCATATGCAAGTGTTTTGGTGAGCCGATAGGTTGACAAAATAAAAATGCAAATGACGACTAAAACTCTACAGTGATACTACATACTAGAATCCCTAGTGAAAGATTCGTACCTAAAACTTCTTACATTCAACCGATCTAAACAGCATTTGGCGCTATCTACACATATATTCTCTTGTAGACATACTACTGAACAGATAACCTCTTACACTATCACACTAAATTTACTTTTATGTTAATTAAACGCATAATAAGTAATATAAAAGTTACTTCGATCAGCTAGGTCCTGAAATTATTTGCTGTAAAATTATATTGTGAAGCCAGCTTGTGAAGAAGGCCTCAAACATGTTCAGCGAGTGGAATTTTGCGTCAGGCGCTCAAAAATAAACATTGACCTAGCCACCAAAAATTAAGTCAATAACCAAGAATATTTTCTGAAGATGTAGTAGATTGGCAAATTGGTTAAAGTTAGTTATTTAATCAAAATGACTAATTCATGTGAGTGATTTAATGTTTCGTTTGTCGTTAACGCTAACTTGTGTCAACTAATGTCATGTTTAACTGTGAATACCGTTGCATGCAGCGGAGAATCAGTGCGATAAATGATGTCATGAATAGCACAGCGTCCTGGACTCTTCCTTGGCTTAGCCGGAGAAAATGGATTGACAACTCCGTTCGCGCTATTCTGCGTAATTTTTACTTCGTCCAACCACGACTCAGACCTGAGTATCTATCTGTTGAGTTCCCAAGGATTTTATTTCTTACATGTTTCCTCGGCTTATCCGAATCAATGTTTTACTTGTCCTTGTTTGCCATCTTCTCCTTGCTTTAAAATATGCACCCAGAAACACCGTTAAACCTCACTATTTAGGAGCTACGCTGGAAAGATAATTCGAAATAACGGAAGCTCGGAATAGCCGATAGTACATGACTGAAGGGCAAAATAACGAGGAATTCAAAATGACTGAGTTCGAATTAGTGAGATCAACCTGTATTTGTTTTGGGACGTTTACGGATAGTCTCTTGCCTAATCTTGTCCACTGGTATTTCAGATGTACCAAGGTAATTGTTTTGCGAAGAGGATATGAGTCCTTGTACACTGAAGTCGTGCAGCTTAGCCTTCATCGCCCTGTGCGACGTTTGTAGACCAATTTACAAGTGCGTGTGGAAAGAAATTTACTTTGGCTTTGCATTGCTACCATTAGCTCAAATAACTCTTGTTACTTTGTCATTCATTCAGAAGAAAAACCAGGACCAAACGTGACGTTTTCCCGCGCGTCGCGTCAGCTGCACTAATGTATTTGTACACAGAAGTCCCTCACATCAAATCGGAGGACAAATTACAGATATTTTTACCTATTGAGTGGTAACCATTTTGAATTTTAGTACGCGTTCCATCTGGTGGGAGATTCTCGGTGCACAATCGGATGCATGCCCTGAGAATTTTCGATTTGCGTCAGTCATCCGAGATCCATTATATTTCACTATTTATAATTCAAAATGGCCGTCGTGAAAACAAAACTCGCGTTGTCTCTTTTGCTAGATTCATCCTCTTATTTGATGTGAAGGACTCCTGTGTGTGCTTTGAGTTTTCAATGCTTCACTTGATTGTCCGTGTCCTTTGTTATTGGGCAGAGTGATTACTTTGGTTTCGGTTTTACTCTACTCAGTTGAAAAACCGTTCTATGTATCTATGATTCATTGCAAGGTCAGGGCCTCAGATGGCAGCTACGTAGTCTGAAACATACGAAGCCATAAATAATTGTTCAAGTCTAGTGACTGAAACTAAGCGGCTAAACCGTCAGCGCGCTATCTGTAGGACTAATGTGGTTGTCTCACATAGAGTACTAGAGTTACTCGCCTTTAATATATGGCTAGCTCTGTGAGCAGGCACGATAAACCGAATCCTGGACTGTGATTAGCTACCCGAGTGGGCAAGATATCGGGATTACCCGCTGTCTCGCAAGGAAATAGTTTATTTTCTCCAAAAAATAAATCCCATATTGACCAACCTTGTTCGCTCAAGATGGTGGATGTTGGCCTCGTTCTTTTTTTTTTTTTTTTTTTNTCTTGATCTCACGCCTGGTCGATAACCCATATATATATTTCTTTCGCCGGCTATATTTCAGCCACACTGATCAGATTTCATAAAGCCTTGTTTGTTTGAGTCTGTTAATATGGCTATCCACTTTATCTTTGGGTAGAAGGGGTTGGCTCTGACTAATATGCCTGAGATTTTATTCCTTCCAAAATGCACCAGATGTAAAGCACTGATAAAATTGATTAAAAACGTTATTGACTATTATCAAAATGCCAAGTTTAGGCGTCGGTTCAGAGATTCTGAATATTATAGAAAAAAACTAAACTCTCGTCCAAAACTCTGTTGAATTAAAGTTTGCCAGCAGGCCCGCGCAAAGTATTCCGTCAAAAAAACAGTGGAACAAAATTAACCAATACGGCGCACCACATGTACACCAAACGTGGTCGTTATACAGTACTTTTCCTTTGAATATCCTGCCCTCTCGCTTGCCCATACACACAAATGTTTCTGATTTCGCTTCCTCTTCTAAAGGCTAAAGTGCTGCAGTCTGTCTCTGAAGACAAAAACGTAATTTTCAATTTTCAATTTTCAATTTTTTTGTTTTTTGTTTTTTTTACCAGAGCCGGCACTGCATTGTTGCTAACGAATAAAGATGACAACAAAATGTGACATACATCTCGAAAGCAAAACTTCGCGCCCGCACACGTTTCGGGGCCATCTTTCACAATATCACACCTAACACTTCCTTGTTGTTTTGTATGTTGTTGTGTTACCAACAAGAAGGTAGCCCTTTCCTCTCCCCATTCCTTTCGGGGGTAGACTTGCAAGAAAGGAAACTCAATTCAATCGTCGCTTACAACTAAAGTAGCAACAAGAGTAGTCCGTTGCGAACTTGTTTATGTTTTTCGCCCTCAAGTAAACCCAACAGCCTAGCTGTCTAAAGCTTTTGGTTCGGTCAAGTTTTTAATGTTTGAAACAGCGATTAGTCAACGGTTACGTGACTGGCATAAGAGTACTTTTTTTTCCTATGACAATGTTTCAGCCTCGTACTTCACATGTACATGTACTTCAACTTTAAAGTTTGCCTCCTTCCGCAACAAACCCAGTGTGTGCCCATGCTTCCGAAATCGTCCAGGTTGATGATACACGGTGAATGGAGAAGAGGTTTTTCCTCGTTGCGCGAAAACACCCTTTTGACAGGGATTTTGAGGTATCTGCACCAGCTTGTTAAATCAAAATTGGAAAGCGGAACGTCCTTGAACATCATTTTTTTATAATCTTCCCAACTACCGAAGAAAAGCGGAGGGTTTACGTGCATCCCTTTTCCACTTTTAGGAGGAGGTAATGAACGCCGCTGTCGTGGAGGGGCCTGACCTGCAGCCCTTTGCCGAACATTTTAAATTTTAGTACGCGTTCATCTGGTGGGAGGTTCTCGGTGCACCATCGGATGCCCCCAAAATTTCCGATCTGTATCAGCCATCCGAGATCCATTATATTTTACTATTTGAAATTCAAAATGGCCGTCATGAAAACAAAACATCGTGTTGTCTCTTTTATTCATCCTCTTAATTGATGTGAAGGACTCCTGTGTTTGCTTTGAGTTTTCAATGCTTCACTTGATTGTCGTGTCCTTTGTCATTGGGCAGAGTGATTACTCTTATAGTTTGGTTTCGGTTTTACTCTAGTCAATTGAAAGACCATTCTATGTATCTACGATTCATTGCAAGGTCAGGGCCTCAGATGGCAGCTACGTATACGAAGCCATAAATAATTGTTCAAGTCTAGCGACCGAAACTAAGCGGCTAAACCGTCAGCGCGCTATCTGTAGGACTGATGTTGTTGACTCACATAGAGTTACTCGCCTTCATTATATGACTAGCTCTGTGAACAGGATAGAATGAGCCGAATCCTGTGCAGTGATTGGCTACCCGAGTGGGCAAGATATCGGGATTGCCCGCTGTGGATCGCAAGGAAATAACGTATTTTTTCCAAAAATTAAATCCCATATTGACCAAGCTTGTTCGCTCAAGATGATGGATATTGACCTTGTTCTCGACTCCGTCTCGGTCCATAAACAAAACACGTAAAAAACACTTCGCCAAGATCCATGTATCCTGATCTCACGCCTGGTCAATAGTCCATATATACCTTTTTCGCCGGCTATATTTCAGCCACACTGATCAGATTTCATAAAGCCTTGTTTGTTTGAGACTGTTAATCCCTCATTAATGTGGCTTCCGCTTTTTTCTCTGAGAAGAAGGGTTTGGTTCTAACTCTAATATGTCTGAGATTTTTTTCCTCCCAAAGTGTAACAGATGTAAAACACAATAACATTGATCAAAAACATTTTGGACCATATGTCAATATTATAAATAAAACTAAGCTTTCGTCCAAAACTCGGTGACATTAAAGCTTGCCTGCAGGCCCGCGCCAAGTATTCCATCAAAATAAAAGCGGGATAAAATCAACCTGTACTGCACCACATGTCTGATTATTAAAAACGTTACTTTATTTCTGCAGTGTACAGTTTCAACGCGTTCATTTTAACATCTACAACATTGGGCAAAATTGCGTGATTGTCATCCATTTTCTTTGAATCTTCTCGCTTGCCAGGACACATAAATGTTTCTGATTTCGCTTCCTCTTCTAGATGCATAAAAGCTAAACAACTGCAGTCTGTTTTCTTTCGAAGAAAAAAGAAACGTTACTGTCAAGATTTTTATGAGACGTATACTGAATGCATTACAACAAAATCCGACGTACGTCTTGAAAGCAAAACTTCGCGTCCGAGTACTCATACACATTTCGCCGCCATTTTCCACAAGTTGCCTTCTTGTTAGTAACACAAGTGTTACTAACAAGAAGGCAAATCCCTTTTCTTACCGAAGGGGAGACTTGAAAAAAAGGGAAATTTCACTTCATTTGTCGCTTACAACTTGAGTGGCAACTATAGTAGTCAGTTGCGGACTTCTTTATGTTTGTTCTCTCTCAAGTAAACCTAGGAGCCTGTATAAAGCTTAGTTCGTTCAAATTTTTCATTTCAGGAACAGCGTTTACACAGTCCTTAGTCAGCGGAAATGTGATTCTTCTTTGACTATATTTCAGCCTCATTTAGCTTTACATGTTCATGTAGGTTAAATGTTAAGTTCTAGTTTGAATCCTTTATGGCAGGTGTAATTAAGGAGTACCCAACATATCGTCGACAACAACTCCAAACTGAAATATTTTTTGATATTAAAATAGAAGGATATTTTTTTTCTCGCAGATAATTGACTTTCACTGAAATCAGGGCACTGTTAACTGTAGTACCTTAGCGTACATTTTCATGAAGGTAGTTATCTGATACTTAAGCTGAGTGGATAGAAAGTAGCCACGATCATGCTGGGCAAAGATTCCCGGCAACCTCCCCTGTTGCGGCTATTTTGTTTTTTCTTTGTGTCTTTTTTTTTCGCTCCGTATGTCAATGTACTTTCTCACATTCTGCATGTTTTTTTTTTTTCTTTTCGCTTCGCATGTAAATTTCGTTCCGTATATATTTTTGTTATTCTTTCATGTTCATTTAGAGTCAGTTTATCGTCCGTTACCCTCGTAACTTTTTGGTTCCCTGAAACCCGTTTCCAGCATTTGGTAAGCCGTTCAATTTATCGTCTGTTTTGTATTTTCCTCTTAGTTTTCTGCTCTCTTCAGTCAGTTATTTTTGTAGTAATTCATTTCATGTTAATCTCTAGGAATTTACCTTCGTATTACGAAAAGTTATTAAATTTGCTGGACTAACTAAGAGGAATTCGCTTTAAGTTGTTTGGAAGTCAGCTCTCTGCCTCTTCATCCCCTAGGTGTGCAATAAATATATTGTGAACATTAACTGGAAATTAACTCACTTCCGGTTATTTTGAAATCTGGCGAAAGAAACACGGTCTTGTTTGTTGAACGTAGCCAGAAGAATTTGACCACAGCATTGCTTTACAGATCACTGCTATTTATCAGTGATTAAGTAAAAGTCAAGCTTTCCATTTTTGAGCGTCCTTGCCTTCGTGATTACCGATAGCAATCACTGATATTACAGATACACCTCCATCGATAAGTATTTCGTTAGGGAAGACACAAGAAATTTCCTGCATAGCAACAATCTTTTTTGTACTTAGTTACACTGTTCATTTTTTATAAACTGAAAATATGTTTTATAAGAATATCGAGGCTGAAATTCGCGAAATTTTTAAGAATAGTTTAAGAATAAACCCGAGGCTGAGATTTTGAAAAGAATAAAATTTTTTGCGTTGGAAATTTATTAAAACAACACAATTGTATCAGTGTTTTTAATTAAACCGTATAAAATCCTTCCTTCTCTAAACGACAAAACTAGCCGCAAAGCAACTAAAACAGGACTAGCCGTATGTTCGATGCTCTGATGCCTGCAGGCTGGCTCTAAAATTACTCTACCTTGCATCCATGGCCAGACACCAAATACCTTCGAAAACAGAAATGTCATACGCAGTAATTTTAGAATATTCACAAGATTGTTTTTAGCTTGCAATCGGCAGAAAAATAAGAATATTCAGCGTCAGTCGGGAAAGCAATATCCTCATAAAAAATAGAGAGTGTATTTTTAATTTCCCGGTTCAACCTAGTCGTTTGTACTCAGCACAATCCATTCACTCAAGAAACACGGAAATAATTTTCTCAAGGCACAAATGCCGTAAAAGCTAAATCTATTTGTTTCAAGCCACTTTTTTCTTCGGAAAGAGACTCGCAGAAACATTCTTGCCTTTTTTGCCGTTACTATGTCTCAGCCATATTGAAATATTCTGAATCATTCAAATTTGAGTACAGTTAATCATTAATTCCTTAAAATGGCTGCAGTTTACTGACAAACTGGTTGTTGTAATTTGCTAAAAATCATCAGCGTTATATTGTAAAGAAAGGTTTCAGAATAACTCGTCCAAAATGTGTAGAAATTTTCCGTTTTAATCGCAGGTAATTAGAAAAACTGGTCGGACTTGAACTGTTCATTCGCGGCGTTGCTATCGATACTTCTGTGTGCAGTCCAGCTAATTGTTAATTGCAGATGAGTAATGTTCAGTAAAAACCTGATATAAAACACAATAAAATAAGTCAGAAACATTTATTCCCACCACCAACTTTTTGCTTGTTTTACAACAATCTTTTATTTTAAAATCTACTCACAAAAATCGTAGGGCTACTAAGCAGTTATGATGACTTACGAGCTTTTTTGTCATGAGATACTTTTTTTGCTTTGGATGGCCTTAAAGACGAGGAAAAGTTCTTCTCACTGCACCAAAATGTATCCCATGGCTTTGATGTGTTTGTCTCCATTATCTGGTGAGTGGAGTGCCTCGTTTCCACACGTGTTGGAGTCATCAGGATACCCGCCTGTACCAAATCCGATTCTTGAATCACAGCTGCTGCAGTCATTTTCGTTGTTACCAAGGATGCCGATTCTTGCTTTAGCATTGTTACTTCTAGTACACACAGCATTGAACCCTTCCTTGTTACAGTTGTGCTGCAAGGAGGCCTGTGAACCAATCAACTTCTTCCACGTGTGACGGCCCAGTAAGGTGGCGCGGTATTGGCCGTCAGCGATCAGTGAGTACAGAGAGTTTGCATGTTTGTTGATGACAATGAACTTGATCTGATGGTCGATCTTCATACCAAGACAGATCTTGGAGAAGGGTGTCTCCCAGTAGGTCGGTAACTTGGTCTCTTGGAAATCAAACCCACTGGTTCCTCCTGCAAGATTATAGCCTTTTCTGTCGCTCCAAAAGGGAGAATCGTAATGAAACGTTTTCTGAAATGAAAGAGAGAACATAAGATTTAAATTCGATAAATTTCCACAGTGCTTGTAATTTTTGAAAAAACCATGCTCTGAAGTAATTTGTACCTTGTCGCCAGCGATCTTCATGGCCAGCGTCCATCCTCCATCTCCACATCCAAAGTTTCCCATGTGACAGTACACAGGAATCTTCTGGGAACTAAACATCAGTGGAATCACTTGACTCTTTGTCGACCTGATGATAGAGGGGATAAAGAAGAGAATGTTGGAAGTTGAGGCCAATCCTTAAATCATTAACGCACGATCAGAGGACTTTCTCGCTCAGTTCGCCATGTACTTCTACTCGAGCTCCAGCATTTACAGTAACACTCTGGCTGGTGAGTAGCTTCGTTTGCTGCTGTTCAAAACAACAGTGCAGTGCATAGGTTGCAACTGAAAGAGAAGAACTCCAAACAAATTCTCTATGTTGTACGTACTAGAGTATAGTACCATTGGACAAACATTAAGGGCTGAGTTAAAACAGTATTAAAAAGCAAGAGGAATAAACCGCTAGGACTGATTTCTGTTATTGATTTCTTCGTCGACTGAATCGCTTGTAAAAATTTTCTCTCTTCCTGTGCCCAGGAGAGTTTATAAAATGAAGCATGCGGATCCGCCTAGAGCTTTGCTCTCTTCGACCAAACGCTTTCCAAGGGCTGCATCATGAAAAGTGCTGTAGGGACTGAACGATTGTAAATTATTAAGACGTAATTTACTAACAGTGAACTTACTTGTGTTTGTCATACTGTTCCTTACAAGAAAACACGGGAGCGGCTGTAAAAAAGGATTAAACTTCTGTCAGATGTTAACCGGTTTAAAAAGCGCTGGCTAGGTAAAAAATACACAGGGCTCCGAGTCTGTTAAAAATTATCAAAACAATTTAACGATCGAGTCACCTGGTGTTGGTTGCGGTCGTTGTGGAATATGAGTTTTGTCACTGGTTTTGTTGACTAACGCAATCAGAGTTTCAAGTTTCGCTTCCAACTTGGTAATAGCTTCGTTAACATGCGAATCCTGAATCAGGTTACACACCATCATTTTGTCGGCGTAGAGTTTTGCCTGATGCTTTGGTGTTTTGATGCCCTTACCAAGAGACAAAGATTTGGCGCCCTTCGCCGGCGGATGATATAACGGCCATGAGTACGAGCAGGTTGGTGCTCAAACAAGCTGCAAATAACACGCGCATTTTGGGAGTTCGTGATAGATCACTGAAAACGTACGTTGTCGGTCTGACTGAGTTCTGTATATTAAAACTTCTGATGACTGTGCCACCTTATGCTGAAGGTGTTATTGTCAACAGTACGCGAATATTTTCTTGCTTGCAGCCATATCGACCAATCAAAGCAGTTTCTTGGTTTATTTTGAACTTCTAGTGACTAATTCACGCAGAGGTAGCCTCTTTGAACAGATTTGTTTTTCTCTCTTTTCAGGGGAATAAAAAAGTTTTAAAACTGAAAGGATAATAGGCCCGTAATTTGGTATGATTTATTGTTGGTTTCGTATGAATCAAAAGACCACAAAATGTGAGGTTGTATTATTCACAAGGCTTTATTTGTAGGCGATAAAAGTAAACTGTCTGTGTTTATTTTATTTACACAGTCCGATCGATCATTTTAATGCTATAAAATCGCGATAGCAAGCGGTAGATCCATCAAATCAGTGGCGAAATTAGAGAAGAAGTTAAAAATTAGCGAGGGTTGGGTGAAGTGGATAAGGAAGGGGTGCTATCTCTCGATTCTCCACTGAGCGAGGTTTTTGAATACATTTGGTCAAGATATAGACAGGTTTTAATCAAAAGTGGTGATTTGGCTTGTGCTCAATTTGTACTTTTTTCACACGGATAATCTTGAATCGAAGCAAACTTAACCAGGTAAAAGTCTCGAAAGGGAATCCCACTTTTATTACAGAAAGTGAGAAAAGTGACTTTCTGATAGAAGCATTGATGCACTAACATGAAAAAGTTGGTGCTTAATGAACACAAGCGAGGCAATGTTGTTGTGTAAATGGTAATTAACATTAGCTTTTATGCAAAGGTTTCTGACAAAAATAACGTGAACGCCACTCATGTTA